CGCCAGCCCGCAGCCGGCTCGAGCCCCTCCGGCGGCCGTTGCGCCGCAGTTCCGCCGGCGAGCGCTGGGTTCGAGCGAGCGACGGCGGTGTCCCCGGAGACCCTCTGGGCGAGACCCGGGACGGGTGAGTGCTGGCGGTCTCGGGGGCCCCCGCGAGCACGCTGCGTTCCCCAACCCTGGGATCGGCCGGTTCCGGGTAGAAACCCTGGCGGGCGCTCGGAGGCGAGGCTCCCGCGGGACCCCGCAGCCAACCGGACGTGGTCTCTGGCCGGCGTTTCTCGAAAGACCTTTTGCGTCGCTGGGGCTTGTGGCCGGCCCTGGCAGTGGCCTGAGCCCCTTCACCGGCTTCCAGAAAGCACTGGAGACAGCGACACCCACCCCTCTTTAGAAATCGGCCCCAAACCGCTTGCCTGGAGACAAAAGGGGAATCGCACTCTAGCAATCTTGGCCTAGAAATGAAAGCTTCTAGTCTGGGAGGGCAAGCCTGAGACCCGGCTGGCCCCCTGGGCTGGTGGAGACACAGGGCCTGCTGTTTTCCGGGTGTGACCTTGGGTGGGCCCCTCTGCCACCTGAGCCCGGGTACCAGAACTGATGGAGCCTGATGGAGCCGTGGTCTCAGGGCGAAGGGGAGAGTCAGGGGTGTGCAGGAGGTGCTGTGTGAATGCTGGCTCCCTGCTCCCCCAGACGCCCAGTAGCCTGGGGCAGTCAGGAAGTGGGGAGGGAGGCATCCAGCTGGTCATTGTCACAAAGTTACTGGGTTGCCGAGAGAAATGGAATCCCCCTTCCTTCTGGGAGCTGGACAGAATGGACTGTGCCTGAACTTGTTCTTCTGGTAGGAACACTGGCGCCCCTTCTGTGTGTCCCTGAATGTTTCAAGATAAGGCAGTGCTGACTTCTTATCACACAGTTTTTCTATGAGTGCAAAGACTGCTTGTTAAGTAGGTAACAAGTTGACTCTTCTCAACTCAGCAGAGGAAAAATTCCTCTCAGTTGTAGTATGTGACTCTGGTCCCTGTCTCTGGCTTTGTTCCTCCTCTGTGTGCCCCATGCCCAGGTCCCCCAAGGCCTGCCGCTGTGCTGTTAGTGAGGTGCTAGCTATTTTGAATCTGGAAGAAATGGTAACACCGGCCCATTCCCTTGCTGTGATTGCAGGTCTAGAAAGGTAAACAAATTGTTGGGAGTTTATACTGGATATTCCAGGCAGGGCATAGCCCCACCAGAGATTTCCTGCCTGGAGACTTTTTTTTTTTTAAGATTTATTTATTTATGCATACAGAACTGGGGTACAGGCCAGAGGTGCAGGGGCAGCGAGAGGCTTCACCAGAGACAGAGTGAGGAGCAGAACAGGCAGATTGACAAAGTACGCTGCTGAGGGGAGCAGCGGGCGGGTCAGGAGAGGTCTGCCGAGCCATGTGGTCTCCTCCGGGGCAGGCGGGGATCGAACTCATGCGGAAGTGGCTTTAGCTTCTCAGTGCTGTGCTTTAACCTGCTGTGCCACCAGGGAGGGCCCCTGGAGACTTTTTTTAATGGCCAGGCAGTAAGGCTCGGGAAGAGCATGAAAGCCTCCCTTGTCTGGAACTTCCACTCTGCTTCTTCCCTACTGTATGATACTGGCAAGTTAGTTCATCTCACTCTTACTTGCTTCCTGATTCACAGATAGTAGTAGTGCTAACCCCATGGACTGTGTTGTGGGGGTGAAATGAGGACACAGGAAAGAAGTGAAGCCAGTGGGATGTCTCAAGCATATTTTGTCCGCAGCCATCACTGCACTACGTGCTCAGGTTCATCTCAGTGCTTTCAGAGCACGACTATCTCAAAGACCAGGCAGCATACAGCAAAGGATCGCTCGGGCCAGGTTTGGCTCTGTCCTGTGCTAGTTCTGTGATCCTTGACCTCTGTGAAATGGAAAAAGTGACATCAGACTGACCAGGTAGTTGTGGGAGCTAAATGAGACAACACAGGTAATCAGAACTCAGCTTCACGCAAGCTTGTAGCCTGGCTCTGAAATGATACTGAACTTCACCATAACCCTGATCCAGCCAAAGGTGTCAAGCATGCCAAGGTAGGTATTTGTAAGAGGTGGGCAGAGATGTAACGATGTCAGCATTGAGGTGACAAACATGTGTTAAGGGCTCACTTTCCAACAACCTTCTTTTTTCCAGCTCACAGCATAGAAAAGTCCTTTGTCGTGTCCACTTCTCTCCCCCTTGCCTCCATGGGACTGTTTCTGCTCTTATTGTCACTGGTCTCTCCAGTAGGGCCTGCGGCGAATGAATGACCTAGCATTGCTGCTCAAACTCAGAAATTCTGTGCTTGTCTTAGGGCAGCAGTCTCTTTGACGATGGAGGGAAGCCGGCAGACGCGGGTGTCTCGGCCCTACAAGATCAGCGAGTCTTCAAAGGTCTGTGAATGATGGCTCACCACCTGTGCAAATTGCCTGGGATTTTTCTTCTTTTTTTCTGATGCACTCCATCTTAATGTACAGATTGCTTTCTTGTTTTCACTGTTGTGAAAGGAGGACGTGGCAAAATCAGAGTGAGCTAGAGTGTCAGGACATAGGAGATGCAACCAGACTCCTTTATTCTGTACCTCAGCCCTCAGGAGTGGATGGGATAGGGCAGAAAGTTGGGCTTTTGGGCCCCACATAAGGGCCCAGAAAGCCCCATTAGGGACCCAGTGATCCAACATGCTGGTGGGGTCCCTCAGTGGTAGCTGGATGTTAAGGGCCCAGAGCGCTCTCTTGTTAATTTCTAACTGTGTGGGACCCTTACGCCCAGTGAGGGTGGGCTCCCATCAGCATCACCCTGGGAGAAGGTTCCCTGAGAAAGTATCTGATTAGAAATGCATATAACCTCCCTCACACACAAATTAAAACCTAGGAGTCTATATAGTCAGTAAAACCCTCAGAGGATTGTCCCCAGGCTGCTGTCTGTACGGATCTGGGGCCACTTTGCAAATCAGTATCCTCATTATGATTACCAGTAACACTTGCTTTTGATGAGAAGTCTCCCCTTTTGGAGATTGGGTTTGGGGATTGCCGTAGATTATGCATTCTCAGTAGGACAGACGTTCCGAAAGAAGTCAACCTGGTTCTTGGGGCTGCAGAGAATGTTACTCTGTTGTGTCTAAAGCACAACTGTCCACACAACTACGTGCAGCTATGCAGACATTCCATGGGAGCTAGTAGAGAAAACTATTCTGCAAGGTTTGGGGGTGGGGCACGATCAAAACAAGATTGAGAAAAATGCCCCTTTGGATAAAGGGAGTCGTGAGCAGCCTATAGATTGGAAGGGGAAAGGGGACTCGGACGAAATCGCACAGATGTATATGAAAGAAAGGCAGGGTATCATGTTTAGGAGAGAGCTCGCTCCTGTTTCCATTTGCGCTTTCTGCGGAACTCCTGCCAAGCCTGACTTTATCTGCCGTGAAAACCCAGAAAGGCCTCGAGCTGTCTCAAAGGGGCTTTGTCTGGGAGCTGGGCTGTGGGGACAGTGCTTCTTTCTAAGTTTGAGAGCCCTGGAAATCTTTGTCGAGTTTCTTTCTGGGGCACTTTTCAACTTTCTAAAAAGGGGCCAAGTCAGCAGTGGATCCTTGATATTTGTTTGCAGATGTTAACGACCCCCACAGAACCATCATCCAAATAGAAAAAAAAGTTACCAATCTCATGCCCACTCTCCCAACTTCCTGCCCGGCCCTTTTGCCCATCTGTGAACTTTATGTGGAAGGACCAGAGAGCAGGTCTTCCCACAGCCCGGTCCCTTCACTCATCCTTGTGCCTCTGAGCTTCCTCTGTTGCTCCTCCATGTGGTGGTGTCTGCTGCGTGTCTGGCCATTGAACTACTGAAAAATGTGCTGTCTGTTTTGATGATAAGTTCTTTTTTGACATAAAATTCCCCAGTCCTGAGCCCTCCCTGTTGGCACAACGGGTTAAAACATAGCACTGTGTAGCTACCCTCAACCGCTTCAACACAAGTTCAGTCCCAGCCAGGGAGTGACCCACATGGCGCAGCAGACCTCTCCTGTGTTAACCGCTGCTCCCCTCAGCAGTGTGTTTCAGTCTGTCTGCCTGCCCTGCTCCCCACTCTGTCTCTAGCGAATCTTCTCATCCGCCTGCACTTCTGGCCTGTACCCCAGTTCTGTATGCACAACTAAATAAATCTTTACCGAAAAAAATTCCCTGCTGCATCCTCTCCGCTACTAGCTACAGAATACCTGTGTTTCCTCACCCACCCTCCTGCTACCTGTGATTAAGTACCAGCGTGGGAAATGAGGGCCAGGTCTCGGTAATCTCGTCTCAGTGTGTTCAGGGCTGAGTTCTAAGTCACACGAGTGCTGTGGTTTCTTAATGATTTCCCCGTAAAACTGGGAACTTGAGTTTGGTTTTTAAACATTCCCATCTCTGCAGTTTCACCAGACTGATCGGCGCCATGCTGTGGGGGGACTAGGTACAGGGCCCAGGATACCCACTGGGCCTGGAGACCCAGCCTTGAAAGTGTCTGTCCTGCTCACTCCTGGGCTCACCGGAGCAGGAGGTCCCACAGCTGTCACCTGACTTGCCCCACCCTGCCCCCTCAGGGCCATTTCCCTTTTTACACCCCAGTTTGGGATCACTTGTACCCTGTTGGTATGTGGTATTTTCAGCATCCCCACCAGCTTAGGAACCACCGGCTCCCTGGTGCTCACTCTGCTCCTCTCAGCATACAGCCCGATGCCTTTTTCTTTCCTTCCTTCCTGGGTCCGCACCAACAGCTGCCTCAAGCTTGTGTGCACTAGAGCCCGGGCCCCACTTTGCTTAATTAGAAGCTCAAACTAGGCCAGCCTGCTCTCTGTGTGAGTCACGGGGATGGACAAGAATCCCTGTTAGCCCTCTGAGAACACCCCATCAAGAAAGGGCAGGAGTCCCTGGCTAGAGCACTCAGGCAGTGAGGACCTGCCCGTCCTGGAATACGGAAGGCCCACAGGCAAATAGGTATGCCCCATACAAACGGCCAGACACCAATTACAAGTTAAAGACACCACAGTAAAAGGCGGTGAAGGGAAGGGGGTTGATGCTGTGGGACGCACAGAGGGATAACTTGTAAGAATTCGGGCTAGCGTAAGCCGGACACGGCCGCACACGCCTCATGAGTCCTCTGTCCATCTGTCCTTCCACCTCTGTGCCCCTGTGCAGGCTGACCGCCAGCCAGTCCTTCCCCTCAGCCATCCTTGAATAGACCGGCTGCCTATTTTTGAATGGTCTGTTTTTCCTTATATTGAATTTTCTTTGTCATTTTTATGGAAAATGAATAAAGCTATGGGCAGTTTCCTGAAAGCCCAGAGCATAACTACTCAACCCTCTGAGGATTCACAAACTGTTGTCTGGGTCTGATCCATCCTGGATCCTCAACTGCGCCTGGCAGGCCACGGCGCTCTCTCTAATGTCAGCCAGCTTGAATTTATTGAATGTCGTTGTAGTAATTATTCATATCAATTGATCTGCTAATTCCACGGTAGCCAGTGACTGACGGTCTGGCCTCTGCACTCAGGGCTGGTTCAGATGGCACCCATGCCACCAGGCACCATGGGACTTAGGGTAGACTTCTTCATCACTCTGAACCTCAGTTTTTCCTCGCCGGGAAAGGTGGGCTTATCACAGATGTGCCCTCAAGGGTTTTCGTGACTCAGATGAGAGCATGCGGGCGAGACAGAGCATAGTGCGGGGTGCGTGTAAACCCCCAGGCAGAGGCCACATGCCTGTATCTGCATGGGACATACTTATTTTTACCCCACATGACTGCTGATACTGGTTTTTGAGCGATGCCCTAGAGCACCCTAGCCCAGGACATCTCAGGGTGTCTGGGGCTCCCACACCCCTGGGCCGCCAGCAGAGAGAAAGGTCTCTGTGGCATGACTGTACACCAGCACTTCGTAGCTCCTGGGCGCATCTCATTAACTCCCCGACCCCGGGAGGTGGATGCCCTCATACTCATGGGTGAGACAAGGAAATGGGGGCCCAGGCTTCTCATGACTCACCCAAGAGTACACAGCTAGTAAGTGGCAGAACCGGGGTTCAGACCCAGAGGCTCCCTGATTTTAGAGACGGCTCCTCCAAGGGCATGTCTGTCCTCATAGGGCATTGTTCACATCCATGGGTTCATGACCCACAGAAGGAAGGGGAGGGAACGGAGTGGCGGAAGGAAGCTCTTAGAAGTTAGAAGGATGGAAGGAAGAAGAGAAAGAAAGCAAATTGTTATAAGTTGTGTTTATAATTTATGAAGAAGGAAGGAAATAACATAGGTGTTTGCACAGAAAAGCACCCTAATTTCCTTGGGACACATTCTGGTATTTATTTCTTGTTCTCTTTCATACCCCTGAGTGTAAGTGCTGATGGTGAGGCACAGGATTGCTTCCAGGCCCCTGCAGGCTGTGGGGGGCAGGCGTTATGTGAGGTTCAGGAGCTCTAGAGCACTAACTTCCATGAAGTGGGAAGGTTTCACTTGGGACCTAAGCCGGGTGCATAGAACATGACTTGATTTTATCAGAAGAAATCCACATGGCCACCCTTCCTGGTGACGCAGTGGGTTAGGATGTAGCACTGAGAGCCAGACGCAGCTGCTTCAGTGTGAGTTCTATCCCCGGCCCAGGAAGTGACCCTCAAGGCGCAGCCGACCTCTTCTGACCTGCCCGCTGCTCCCCTCAGCAGTGTGCTTCATCAGTCGGCCTGTTCTGCTCCACTCTGTCTCTGGTGAATCCTCTCACCACCCCTGCTCCTCTGGCTTGTACCCCAGTTCTGTGTGCATAAATAAATTAAAAAAAAAAAAAAGAAATCCAAATGTCAGTAATCTAAGCATGCAGTTCATTTAGTAATAATAAAAAAGGGGAAGGTTAACCCACCTTGGTGAGGAGACTGACAGCACAGAATGGGCCAGACCAGTTCCTTGCATCGGTCAGACTGCAAGGAGAGCAGCTGCCACTTCTCAGAGTGAGGGTCCCAGGCAGCTCTCTTCAAAGCCTGGAGAAGACTTCAGCCAATAGGCATCTCAAAATCCTGTCTGTATTGTGCCCCTCTTCAGAGGCGTGTTATCAGGACCACCTGTCAATTTTAATTTAGGAGGGGCCTCTCCGTCCAGCCAGGTTTTCACTGTCCTTGCCTTTTGCAGATATCTTTTATGGTGTTTTCAGAAATGAGTGATTTAGCTTAATAGTAGTTACCCCCCTCCGCCCTCCCTCTTCCCCTCCCCCCCCAACCCCATCATCCCAGCCCTGGGCCGTGCGTGACACGTGCTCTCCCGGCAGGTGTACCGCTGGGCTGACCACTCAACCACGGTGCTGCAGCGTCTGAACGAGCAGCGCCTCCGTGGCCTCTTCTGCGACATCGTCTTGGTGGCCGACGAGCAGCGTGTGCCCGCCCACCGCAACCTACTGGCTGTGTGCAGCGACTACTTCAACTCCATGTTCACCCTCGGCATGCGGGAGGCTTTCCAGAAGGAGGTGGAGCTGATCGGCGCCTCCTACATCGGGCTCAAGGCCGTCGTGGACTTCCTGTACGGTGGGGAGCTGGCGCTGGACGGCGGCAACATCGACTACGTCCTGGAGACGGCCCACCTGCTGCAGATCTGGACGGCGGTGGACTTCTGCTGCGAGTACCTGGAGCAGGAGGTGAGCGAGGACAACTACCTGTACCTGCAGGAGCTGGCCTCCATCTACAGCCTCAAGCGGCTGGATGCCTTCATCGACGGCTTCATCCTGAGCCGGTTTGGCACGCTGTCCTTCACGCCGGACTTCCTGCAGAACATCTCCATGCAGAAGCTGTGCGTCTACCTGAGCAGCAGTGCCGTGCAGCGGGAGTGCGAGCACGACCTGCTGCAGGCCGCGCTGCAGTGGCTGACGCAGCAGCCCGAGCGCGAGGCTCACGCCTACCGGGTGCTGGAGAACATCCACTTCCCGCTCATCCCCAAGAACGACCTGCTGCACCGCGTCAAGCCGGCCGTGTGCTCCCTGCTGCCCAAGGAGGCCGACTGCGAGGGCTTCATCGAGGAGGCCGTGCGCTACCACAACAACCTGGCGGCGCAGCCCGTCATGCAGACCAAGCGCACGGCGCTGCGCACCAACCAGGAGCGCCTGCTGTTCGTGGGTGGCGAGGTCTCCGAGCGGTGTCTCGAGCTCAGCGATGACACCTGCTACCTGGACGCCCAGAGCGAGCAGTGGGTCAAGGAGACGCCCCTGCCAGCCCGGCGGAGCCACCACTGTGTCGCCGTGCTGGGGGGCTTCATCTTCATCGCCGGCGGCAGCTTCTCGAGGGACAACGGAGGGGATGCCGCGTCCAACCTTCTCTATAGGTATGACCCCCGCTGTAAACAGTGGATCAAGGTGAGATTAAAGCCACATTACTTCTTTTCTCTCGAGGACTCTTGCTCTCCCTGACCTAGCCTTGAGCGCCCCTCCCCTTCTCCTGGGCCGTGACCGGCGTCCTGCTCCTAAGTGAGGTGTGACCAGCTGGATCAGCACACATCCTGGCCCCTCACGCCCGCGGGAGGGGGTGGGAAGGGCTGACCAGCTGCTTTCTGTGGGGCCAGTGCTGGCCAGAGCAGCGCTGGCCAGTAGGACTTTTTGGACCATGCCGTCCGGCACAGTAACTGCCCACCACCCACGGCACTGGGGTCCCTGGCATGTGGCTTGGGGATCGAGAAACTGAATTTTCTGTTTTAGGCCTTTAGCGAATTTGCATTTGTGCGTAGATGGCCGCTGAGGCAAGTGGCCATCATACTGGATGTTAACTGCTTTCAAGGTGTGAGTCACTGTTCAGTGCTCCGTTCCCCTCCCGCCCAGATTCTCCTCTGCAGAGGTTAGAGGAGCTTACTGAGGTTCGTGTGTGCTGGGAGCGCTGGCTCTCCTGCAGCGCGGCCCCCGAAAGAGCTGTCTGAGTCCACATCCCAGCCTAGCTCAGTCCTAACTGGGGATTTCAGACCTGTTCTTTCTCCTCTGTAGATTTCAGCTTTCCCCTTGGAAATAGGTGGGGAATACTGACCTTCAGGGCCAGCAGGTGGGAACCCACGTCCATGGGTGAGCCCCAGGCCAGGGAAGGGGTCCCTTCTTCTGGGGACACCCGTCCTGACCCCATGGCTCAGTCTTTATACTCACACCTCAGTGTACTCATTCAGCTCAGTGATTATCTGAGCTCGAAACTATCGAAGGAGACTCAGATGCTCTGCCTCTGCCCCCCCCCCCCCCCCCACACACAGCGTGAGACCCATCCTGGCCAATGAGGCTGCCGGAAAGACGACCTTCTCCAGCTGCAAGACCCTGTTCATGCATGTGTTCAGTCTGGATTCTTGAACACAGCTTTTTTTAGGGGTCTTGTACTTTTTCATGCACTGCTAGTGGTCCTTTTGCTGCTAGTGGTACTTTTGCATGACATAAATGGTGGTCAGTAGTAATTTGCAAATACCTGCTGGGGGTGAGGGCATGGATGGATTTTGTTTGTTTGTTTCAGGAAACCACTAAACCAGCAATTTTGAAATATGTCCTGCACCACTGTAGACCCCAGGGTCTACCATCTGGCCAAACAAGTTAGGGGGAACAAATCGTCCCTCCTTCTGGTGGGGATTCGCAGTATCTCCGGGGCTTGGAGAAGTTCCCCCTAAGATACCCTTCTTTTCCCCACATCTGCCTCGCCTCCCCCAAACCACTTGGCCACCACCTGGCCTCCCTGGGCTCTGTGGCCCCTCGAACATGTTTAGGCGCCAGCCAGATGTTGACTCTGCCCCGCTTTTGGGGAAGGGAAGGTACAGGTGTCTCACCTCCGTAGGTGGCCTCCATGAACCAGCGCCGAGTGGATTTCTACCTGGCCTCCATCGAAGACATGCTGGTGGCCGTTGGTGGCCGGAATGAGAACGGGGCCCTCTCCTCCGTCGAGACATACAGTCCCAAGACGGATTCCTGGTCCTATGTGGCTGGCTTGCCCAGGTGAGAGGGGGTTTGTGGCAGATTCTTCCACCCTGACCTTTCTGGGCTGCCTCCTTCCAGGAATAGTCACCTGGCTTGCAAATGTCACTGGGGCGGTCAGGAGGGACAGTGTCAGCCTTGCGGGAATCAGGCATCCCTCTCCAGGTGGCAAGGGGATCACCTGACTGTCTGCATCTGGGCCGCAGCTGTGCAGAGGTGGGGAGGTAGCTGCCCTGAAGCTGGGGCCAAGCGTGTGTCTCCTCCCATCCCCTCCTCCGTGAATTGGGCCTGCAGGATCGGCCTCCCTCCCTGTGCTCAGGAGGATTTTGATGAGATCCTGTGTGTGAACTCTGCTCCCCCAGATGGGGCTCTTGCACTCATGCTCTTCAGCTGCCCTGTATCTAGCTGAACCTCTGCTGTGCTTCTGTCAGCGTCATGAGCTCAGGAGAAGGCGCCACCACTTTCTGATGAGTTCCCTAGAGCTGAATCGCTTGCCTGCCTTCTGAACCTGCCCTGTGATGGGCCATGTCCTCCCCTTCCTCCTAGTTAGAAGGGCATGTGGGATGTGTCTAGATGTGACCTCTGTTCCTGCCCCTGGTAACTACCAACTTCATATGGAGACCAGGGAAGCCAAGAGAGTAGCAACTGGGCACCTGTCGATAAGGTCATTGGACAGTCATGACAGCAGCTCCTGGGGGCCCGGTGCCAACTCTGGGCCAAGGGTCTGAGAGGATGTCACCTGTGATGGCCGTCAGTACCTGTGGGTTGGAGGCCAGCACCCATGTGACTGGTCATCCAGACCGGAGTGGCAGAGGGCAGGGCAGCAAGTCTAGGCCCGTCCAAGCAGACTCAGCTGTGGTCTCCCCGGGTCTGGGTATTTTACCCTGTTTTACAGATGGAGCGTGCAGCTCGATAATGGCCATCTGCCGCCATGCCAGCGTGATTTGTGTACCTTAAATGCTCCCGCGGTGCTATGGATTTTTCTTTCTAGACGCATCTTGGGTGTGCAGTGTTGTGATGGCTGTAGTCATGGTGCTGGTTTCACTGATGCAGGAAAGAGTCTCTCATGGTTCTTCCATCTCTTTTTTCGTCTCCATTTTTATCCATGATTTACATGTTTAATGGAGCCTTGGTGAACCCAGAGCCCAATCCAAGCACCCACCCATGAAACCACAAAGAGCGTAGCCCCCAAAAGTTTTGCTCTCCTATAACACTGGCTTTGTTTTTTTCACCTTTGTTTGCACTTCAGTCTTTGGATATAGGTTTCATGTATTTGTGGTAATTTGAGGTTGACAGAAAATTGAACACGAAGTCCAGAGTTCCCATATAAAGCCTGGGTTTCTGTGGGGGTAGGGGGGTTTCCTACCCTGCCGCACCCAGTGAATGCGCCAGCATTGAGGCATAATGGCTACCTGAGGTCTGTGGTTTACGCGAGCCGCGTGCACTGGTTTACCTGCTGAGGAGCTGCATGGCGGAAGCTGACATGCGCCGGCCACGCCGCCCCCTCCCACCCCTCAGGGTCACTGGGAGGCGCCCCGCCACAGCCGCCCGTCTCGCTGGGAGCGGGCCCTGTACTCCACCTGTGCGTCCTCCCCCGGCCCGAACTGCGGGCAGCGCTGCTGTTTGCCGTCTCTCCAGTCCTTACTGAGGCCGTCTTGCTGGCCTTTGTTCATGCTGCCCTTGAAAATGTGCAGTGGGCTGAGTCTCACATGTGCCCAGCAGACGTGCTTCAGCCCCTCTGAGAAAGAGAACAGTCTTGGGTTCAGAGGGGGCTTCTGAGGCTGCTGGTCCTGCTGTCCGGCGCCCGCTCCTTGCTTCATGTCCTCCACTCCTGGGCCCTCCCAGATTGCAGGTGTCCCCACGCTGTAGAGAAGACTCAGGACGCGGGGCTCCCTGCCACAGAGGTGTTCCCACAGGGGTTTCCTTGTCTGGTGACTGGTTTTTGAGGAGTCCCATTGTTCCCTGGGGGGTGACCCCCCCATCCCTGCAAGGGTCTGAGCTCGCAAGGAAGGCCCAGCAGGCACGCGCCGAGCCCCTCTGCCCGTCTTGTCTCCACAGGTTCACCTACGGCCACGCGGGCACCATCTACAAGGACTTCGTGTACATCTCTGGGGGCCACGACTACCAGATAGGCCCCTACCGCAAGAACCTGCTGTGCTACGACCACCGGACGGACGTGTGGGAGGAGCGGCGGCCCATGAGCACGGCCCGGGGCTGGCACAGCATGTGCAGCCTGGACGACCGCATCTACTCCATCGGGGGCAGCGACGACAGCATCGAGTCCATGGAGCGCTTCGACGTGCTGGGCGTGGAGGCCTACAGCCCGCAGTGCAACCAGTGGACCCGCGTGGCGCCGCTGCTGCACGCCAACAGCGAGTCGGGGGTGGCCGTGTGGGAGGGCCGCATCTACATCCTGGGCGGCTACAGCTGGGAGAACACCGCCTTCTCCAAGACCGTCCAGGTGTACGACCGCGAGAAGGACAAGTGGAGCAAGGGCACCGACCTGCCCAAGGCCATCGCCGGCGTGTCCGCCTGCGTCTGCGCCCTGAAGCCGCGGCTGGAGGACAAGAAGAAGAAGGGCAAGGGCAAGAGGCCCCAGGACCGCGGCCAGTGACCCCGCCTGCACCCCGCCGCACCCTCTGCCCCGCCACCAGCCGGTAGACCAGCAGCAGCTCGGTAGAATCCTCAGCCACGGTGGACTGAGCAGCTTTTTCTACTTTTATGATTCTTGGTATTTCTACGATATCATAGTAACCGATTAAATAATCTATATAACTTGATCTATTATCTCGCTTGAGTAATTAAACCCGCACCCAGGCAGGAACCTTCCCCTGATACCTGGACAGGGAGCCTTCCCGCAGGATAAACGCCCATGCGTCCCCCCCAGACCGGCCCCCGCCCGAGGTAGCTACGGTGGGGGTGATGCAGTTTTTTCAGAGTGGAACTAGGGGAGTTTGACGGGGCATTGCAGACCCCTTGTCCACACCTCCCTAAACCCACCTGAGGTTTTAAAAATGCAGATTCCTGGATCCCATCTCATGATTTGAAACCTGAAGCTACTGGGGACCGGGGTGCCTGGAAATTATTTTTCACCAGTATCTGGAATGTCTAGATGCCAGCCATGTTGGGAAGCGCTGGCCAGGTCAAGCTCATTTGTTTGATTAAAGGGGACACAGAGACCCTCGGGCGTGCGTAAGTGGTGGGGGCCCCTGTCAGGTGGGATGGGGGTTCCCTACCACAGAGGTGTTCCCACTGCGGTCTTCTGGTCAGGTAACTCATTTCTGAGGAATCCCCTTTTCCCGGGGTGATAATCCTCCCAAATCTTGCATGGGCCTAAGCTAGCAAGGGAGAAGGGAAGGGGGTGGAGCCAGAAGCTCTTTTTCAACATGAACCTGTCATTTTGTTCTTTATTTCACTTTTTATTTTTCCGAATCCACTCTAAGCTCCCTCATCGATGTTCGTGTCCCAGGAAAGAGCCTAAGAGCTGTCAAATTTGCCTCGGTCATCTGTGCCTCTTGCTCCACAGAGTTCTTGAAAAGCGCCCGGGCCAGTGAGCACGGCTGCCCCCAGAAGGTTGTCCATTTTCTTCCTAGCTCAGATGACAGGCCAGGTCCCTGCTGGCTGCTGCTGAGTGGTGTTGCAGCCCTGGGCAGCCAGTAACCAGTTTGCACCGTTTCCTGTTCTGTTAAAAGGATGTGGTAAGGTGACCTCATCCTGCAGCTCCATCTTGGGGTCCAGCCCCTTTAGCCCACATCAGCTGTGATTGCAACCAGTACCTCCCTGTGCTCCTGCCCACTGTTACCAGGCCAGGCAGCCATCACGCTCCCCGGAAGGGGAGCCCGAGGCTCTCCTGAGAGCCCCTGTATGAGAGAGGAAGGGTGCCATGGAAGGTGGGAGCGAGGAGCTTTCATGGCGAGGAACGGTCTCTACCTGGCAAAGATTCAACTGCCGAGCTCAAGTCCCTTCAAGACTTGTTACTGACACCATTGGGAAAATCTCAGTTAACGTATTTCCCTTTTTATATTTCCCTTTTTATTCTTGTCCTGTACTGGCCATCCTTTCTCTTCAAGAGTTCCTGATTCTGCCGGCTCTGTTTCTGTAGAGACCAGGAGGGCCCAGAGAGACTCGGGAGCCGGCCAGTTAGCTCACTTCTTGCCCGTGGAAGTCTGGAGGCTCACACGCTGCTGACAGGTCCCGCAATACTTGCGGACATCCAGCCCCAACCTGGGGAGCCCCACGGCACTCCACGCCTCAGGCCCTGTGGAGGCAGGTGCTGACATGACCCTGCATCCACCCGGCATTTCCAAACTGCTGAGCTTGAAACTCCTCTCTCATACCTCAGACCCACCCGGTGTGTTCGCAGGATGTCTCGATGTGTGACGACAGCCCGTACCCTTTGATTCCGGGAACAACCTCGCTACCTGAAGACTTTGTAACAGGCACAGTGTGGTGTGGAGGGGCTGAGTCGGGAAGAACCCACAGAATCTGGTCTGTTCTCCCCAGCTCGGGCCAGTTCACCAGCAGAGAGGTGTGAGCAGCTTTGGGGGGGAGGTGGGGGACAGGCTGCCTTTTTGGATAGCAGGCTACCTCTGACCTTGGGAAGAGGGCGGCCACTTCGTTTTCGCCTCAGCCAGCTCTTCATATTCGACCCCACAACGGGTCCCAGGTGTGGGTGTGGTGCCGGCTCTTGGGCTCCCCTTGGTCTTCGTGTGCTTTGGGGGCCACACGCCGTGTCCCTGTACCTGATGCTGTGTGATGTCTCCTGCCCGAGGAAGGTGCTTGTCATTTCTGTGGCTCTGAACGTGCTATCACTGAGGTCCGGTCCTTGAAAAGCGGGGTTAGTTTGTGCCAAGAAAGGTTTTCGAGCTCTTCGGGGGTCCCTGTAAAGGTGCGTCACCCTGGCCTGTCGGCAGGTCTGTGGAGATACAGGAGAGCAGGGGCGGGGGACACACGGGCTGTGCGATCCCTGTTTCCGTGCGGGTCCCTCTGCCCGGTGCGCGGCAGAGACTGGGAGAGCCGCACACATGAGCTGCCAGGCTGGGGCTAGGCCAAGCTGCCCTGCACAAGCTGGGAACAGCTGCAGCTTCTAACCTGCCCCCGTACCCCATGGGCTTTTATTCCAGCCTGTCCTGTCTGACTTGTAAAAAACCTTGGGTTTGCTCCAGGTTTTGTGTGTGAGCCTCACCCCAGTTGGAACCCCATTTGTTTCTGGCACACGTGATACAAGAAGGGAAGGAGAGCGGAAGCTATTGGGGGCCTTTCTGCTCTTTAAAATAGATTGTCTTAGCGACATGCTCTGCCACATATTTGCAATGTCCTGCCATTCTAGAAAGTCTTCCAGGTAGGACTTCTGGACGGGTATCTGTGTGTTCATTTTCTGAATGCCACTGCATGAACAGGTGTCTCTTGACTGAGTAGAAACCCCAGAAGCCAGCCCTAAGGTGTTCACTGTGGGGAGAGAGCTGAGACCCTGGAGGCGAGTGGGTCCCTCCTCCAAGGCCAGGGGCCCCTCTGCAAATTAAGGTGTATTCACCAGTGGTTCAAAGCCCCTGACGCTTGAGCCAGGGGTGACCTTTCAGTGGCTTGCAGCAATGTGGAAAGTGAAAGGACTCTTGGCCACACCCACACCACGCGAGGGTCATCAGCCTTACCTTTGCTTGGTTCTGCAGGTATGGCGTGGTCGGGACAGTGCCTCGAAGGCCTTCGGATGCTGTTACTGTCTCAGATCTCTGATCCTGAACTCAGAAGGGCAGCTCCAGCTGTCGTCTGGACATCCTTGTCTCCCTGGCTCCTTGTCATTTCTGTGGCTCTGAACGTGACATCACCGAGGTCAGGTCCCTGCTTGTCTAACAGGGGCAGTGGAGGGGCAGTGGCCTGACCTCCAGGACTCAGCTCTGTAGAGAGCAGTTCAGCTCCTGGGGACTGGAGATCCGGCCCTATGTGTCTGCCAAGCCTGGCTGTTTTTAAAGATTTTTGAAACGTTTTGATACCTTTTGATACCATTTGCTAATGACCGTTTTGTAGGTTGCCTGCTGGAGTTTTCAGCCTCCTTCCCTCACCCCACCTCCTTGAGCTTGCACCAGACAGCACGTGTCCTGTGGTCAGTGCTGGGTCACTCCCCTTGTGCTGTATCTTGGAGCTCCCTCCCTTCCATGGTTACAGACCAGTAGAGCTCTTGGACTTTGTCAGGTCACATGGTCATGTGTGGCCCCCACCTGAGTGAGAGTCACTGCTTTACCACTCACTCCCTTAAGATGTACCCTGCCCTCCCCGAGTGCCTACCTCAGCAGTGAAAGGATCTCCAGGACTGGCCTGCATATATATCCCCTCTCCTGGGGGCAGTTCTCCACCTGGGGTTTGGCTCGGGTCCCACCTGCCCTTTTAAAGACACATGAAATCCCTAAAAAACTATAATAGTGAACCATCTGCACTTTAAGGAATAAAGTCAGCTTTTTTGGTCAGCTTTTCAGGTTCCTTTCTTTGGTGTTTTTGTTGTTTGTATAGACACAGAATCTAGCTTCCAAGGGTGCTTAGGATCTCAAGAACTTGTCTTTGGTTACCTTAGTTCAAGGAGTTGAATGAATGTATACTTTGGGTGGGGGCGTGGGCGGAGGAGCAGGAGAATAGAGCCTCCCCTGTCAGTGTCCTGACAGGATTCCCACCTTCTCGAAGTTCTGGAAGCTGTCACGTTGGTTCCTTTACCATGGTAGCAAGGGGGCAAGTCCTTTGGAGCAATTCAAGTTCAGCATCACCTCACCAGCCTCCCCCTTCAAAATTTAGTAAGATTTCTGAAGATTAAGTAATTCTCTGGGATGTTCTGTTACCAATGTTACCAAAATCTGTTACTATCTGTTACCGTTACTGATCCTCTGCTTTGTTTTTGTATTTGTCATTTTATGAACCTCCATGCCTTATGTCTGATCTCTTTTTCAATTAATTTTCTGCACGTTAGGGTTTTTTTTTTTTTTTTTTTTGTCCTTTGTAATTTTACACAGAGCATTCAGCTCTGGAGACAACATTAAAATGATTCGCCTGCTAGGCTGTGGTTTATTTTATAATTATATTCCTCGTCTTGTGTGGTTATTATAATGATGTTCGGTCCTGTTTTCTCTGCCCAGATTAAAAAAAAACCTTTGCAGTTGAACCCAAATATAATTTGGAAATTAACCTGATTGCCTTTTAGTGGTAGACTGGGACATTTCGATTCTGATTTCTTTGTACTTTTAATTACTGCATTTTACTAAGAATTTCATTCAGACCCTTGATTGCCACACCCCATCCCATGACCTGAAATGAAATTCTTTGCTTACATTTGTGTCTGTGAGGGTGATTTGCTTAGAAAAGAAATATAAAAACCAGGCAAGAGTTTATGACAAGTAATTTATCTTTATCAAAAAGATACACTTGGCCCTCCCTGGTGGCGCAGCAGGTTAAAGTGCAGCATTAAGAAGCTAAAGCCGGGCCCTCCCTGGTGGCGCAGCGGGTTAAAGCACTGCACTAAGAAACTAAAGCCACTTCCGCATGAGTTCGATCCCCGTCTGCCCCGGAGGTGACCACATGGCGTGGCAGACCTCTCCTGACCCGCCCGCTGCTCCCCTCAGCAGTGTACTTCGTCGATCTGCCTGTTCTGCTCCCCGCTCTGTCTCTGGTGAATCCTCTCACCCTCCACATCTCTGGCCTGTACCCCAGTTCTGTACGAATAAATAAATAAATCTTTAAAAAAAAAAAAAAAAGAAGCTAAAGCCACTTCAGTGTGAGTTCGATCCCCGCCTGCCCCGGAGGTGACCCACATGGCGTAGCAGACCTCTCCTGACCCACCCGCTGCTCCCCTCAGCAGTGTACTTCGTCAGTTGGCCTGTTCTGCTTCCTACTCTGTCTCTGGTGAATCCTCATACACCCCCTCACCTCTGGACTGTACCCCAGTTCTGTGTGCATAAATAAATCTTAAAAAAAAAAAAAGATACACTCACATACCTGTAAGAGTTCACTCCTATCTCCTTTACGAATAGAAACTTGGAGGCCCTCCCTGGTGGTGCAGTGGGTTAGGACATAGCACTGCAAACTGGCCACAGCCACTGCAGTACGAGTTCGATCCCCGGCCAGGGAGCTGACCCACATGGCACAGCAGGCCTCTCCTGTCTTGCCTGCTGTTCCCCTTAGCACCTTAGCAGTGTACTTCTGTCTGTGGTGAATCCTCTCACCACCCCTGCACCTCTGGCCTGTACCCCAGTTCTGTATGCATCAATAAACTAATCTTAAAAAAAAAGAGAGAAAAACTTGGCACTCCCTCCTGCCTGCGGGGTTTTGCCAGAGGCTCACAGACCAGCCTAGTCATGGTCACGGTCAGTCACCTTGTCCCTGAACCTTTCGCAGAGGGCAGTGAGAGGAACCTGCCAGTCCCAAATCCCAGAAACAGAATTTGAATCTGTCTCTCTGTGAGGCAAAAAGGACCCTGCCTGGCAGATGCTCAAATAGCCCTGGTTTAATCACCTCAAACTCAAAAGAATCTTCGGTTAGAATTCTATTACCATTTTGTAGATGAAGCCATAGCGTAGGTTAATTCTATTCCCCAAATCCAGCCCCCTGAGCCACCCAGCTAGATGGACACTGTGTTGGTTTGAGTTGCCTTGAATGCAGAACCTGAGATGAGGCTGAAGGGACAGGTGGTTCCACGGGGTGCCTGTCCCCAGGCAGCTGTAACAAGAGAGGGAGGAGAGGCTAAAAAGGAAGGGCTTTACCTGTGGCTGAGCGATACATCACACAAGTATGAGGACTCTGCTGGGCAGCTTTCAGCCAGGTGTCACGGTCATCAGTGGTTCAGGAAGATACACTTATAAGATGGGGTGTGGGTGGAGTGCTGAGTCAGGTGGTCTCCTGAACGTTCTTCCCCTACCCTCAGTCTGTCTGCTTTGCCATACCAAGCTTCCTATGTGGCAGTAAGCACCCCCTGCCCCACCAGGTGACCGTCTCTAATAGCTGTGGGACTTCTCTTAACTGAGCCTGTGACTGACTTTATTGCATTCTCCTCTTGAGGTTATCACAATGCCCTCCAAGTTTAGGGGTGCTCCTGCCGCCTCCTGGCTGCCTGGGAAGGAAAGCAGAGCATCCCCTGGCCTGTGCCCCCAAGGTCAGGACTGCCTCCACACCTTCGACCCCTCCACTTCTGGCTGCTCTCAGTGCCCAGCTGGCTGGCCAGTGTCTGCAAGGCCTGGGACAGAAAGTGTGTGAAGGAGGACGCCATGTATGGCCATCAGAGCCTGCCCAGAAGGACCCGCCGGTAGACTCGGGGGCAGAGGGCCTGTATCCAGCTCTCTGGGCACCTGCTTGGAGACAGATTTCAACCTACATCTGCCAGCCCAGACCCTACTCTTGAAGCATCCCGATAATGGCCACCGTGTAAGGCCCCTGTGTGGGCTACCATGCTCCTGGGAGCCCCCCAGGATGCAGGTGTGTGAACTCCTTGCTCTCAGCCATCAGTCAAGATCACTGGCCCTCACAGGGGTGGCAGCAGGCATGGGACTGGTATGCCTGCCTGGGACAAAGTGGGACTCAAGCCCATGCCCTCAGAGCCCCGCTGGGGAATGGTCCTCACCCTGTATCGACTGAGGCCAGAGCCCCGTCACAAGCACCTGCCACACGTGGGCACGAAGACAGACTCATCTCACCTCCATGGAGCTGGACAATGCTGAGTGAGTCCTCAAGGTGACATTCACTAAACAGAGTTCTGTACCTGGCAGGCCCACTTAGTTCTGGGGACACGTGGTGACAAGGCAGAAAGACGCTACCTGCCGACTCAAATGCCGATGAAGACCCCTCCTGCAGAGAGAAGGGCAGGCATGATCTCCAGACCGATGTGCCAAACCCACTGGGCAATTTACTTGATGTGGGTATACTGTATGTGAGTGAATTAAAAGCCCAAAGCTTTTTGCTTTAAGCTGTGTGCGAGGTGTGTGTGTTAGAGGAGCCAAGGGCACTGAGGCAGAGAAAGTAGGGAGAAGTGAGATCTGGGGCAAGTCAGAGAGGTGCTGATGGGGGTAGGGGGTGGGGGGGAGACTTGGGCCGGTCTATGAGAGACTCATTGGTGGAAGGAATGGGGTCTGACAGCAGCAACTGGGAGACACAGGCCCCGCCTGGGCTTACTGGTCTTAAAACCACAGCAGTTTCATTAAAGCTCGTGTTGGGCAGGACCCAGTTAGGGCAGTTTATCGCTGCCGGTGGCTTCCGCTTGGCTTCTGTCTTACCTCACTCAGAGAATCTGAGTGTGTGTGCCAGGAGACAGGAAGTGGAAGCTGGCTCTGTGCTTTTCCAAAAGCCCACATGCAATAAAATGTACTGTTTTCACATAGCTATATGTGTAGTTTTGTGAATTTAAACAAATAATCAAAGTATTACTCATTGCAAAAGTCAGAGATGACTGAATAAAGCAAATAATAAGGCAGATGGGTTACTACTCAGCCATGAATAGGAATGAGGTGCTGACTGATGTTACGACATGAGTGAACCATGAAGACATTATGTTGAGTCTTCATGCTAAGAAGTGAATGTAAAACACAGTTTATGGTTCCATTTATGTGCAATGGCCAGAGCAGGCACATTCACAGAGACAGAAAGTAGACAGATGGTTGCTTAGGGCAGCAATGGGATTGAAGATGGGTAGGGAGCAAGAGCGAAGCATAGTGGGCAGTTCTCTCTGATGTGATGCCAGTGTTCTCAAAGTGACTGTGGTTTAAAAACAATCTTGAGGGGCCCTCCCTGGTGGCACAGCGGGTTAAAGAGCAGCACTAAGAAGCTAAAGCCACTTCAGCATGTGTTTGATCCCCACCTGCCCCGGGGATAACCCACATGGCGCGGCAGACCTCTCCTGACCCGCCCGCTGCTCCCCTCAGCAGTGTACTGCAGTCAGTCTGCTTGTTCTGCTCCCACTCTGTCTCTAGTGAATCCTCTCACCCCTCCCCCCCCTGCATCTCTGGCCTGTACCCGAGTTCTATGTGCATAAATAAATAAATCTTAAAAAAATCTTGAATTGTGTCCTTTAAATGAATGAGTTGGGATCTCCCTGGTGGTGCAAAGGGTTAAGTCTCAGCACTGTGAAGCTCTCCACAGCCACTGCAGCACAAGTTCAGTCCCTGGCCAGGGAGCTGACCCACATGCCACAGCAGACCTCTCCTGTCTGGCCTGCTGCTCCCCTCAGCAGTGTATTTAAGTCGGTCTGCCTGTTTTGCTCCCCACTCTGTCTCTAATGAATCCTTTCCCACTACCTCTGGTCTATACTCCAGTTCTTAAGTGCATAAGTAAATAAAAATAAATTTTTTTTTAAAAAGGGTGAATTGTGTGGTATGTGAATTACATCTCAACAAAGCTGTTTAAAACACTGAAGCAGGCCTCCTTCCCTGGTTATGCAGTGGTTTAAACACAACACTGCAAGCTAGCTGCAGCCACTGCAGTGCGAATTGGGTCCCTGCCCCGGAGGTGACCCACACGGTGCAGCAGACCTCTCCTGACCCGCCTGCTGCTCCCCTCAGCAGTGTACTTCGTCGATCTCCCTGTTCTGCTTCCGCTCTGTCTCTGGTGAATCCTCTCACCGCCCCTGCACCTCTGGACTGTACCCCAGTTCATAAATAAATAAATCTTTAAATAAATAAATCTTCAAAAACAAAAATAAAATACTGAAGCAGTAATTCACCTCATTCTCTGAGTTCTATGTGTTGGTCTCCCAGGTAGCTCACATGTGGACCTCCAGGATACAAACCTCTTTGCTTGATTCTAAAACTGGGAACTTTGAGCAAGCAAGGGAGCCATTCTGTGACACAGACCTCGCCGTCCTCCAGAGGGCGCTGAAGAGCGATGGTCTGCAAACTGGATCTTGCACTGTCAGCGTCCAAGCGAGCCCGTTAGAAAAGCAGATTCTCAGGCCCCAGCCATGGTCTATTGAGAAAGCCACTCCTGGATTGGGACCCGGTACTGTGTGTTTTCACATTCCTTCTTGATGAGCCTAATGCAGGCTCAGTTGAACCACTGCTGTCTAGAAGTTTCTGTCTCCGTATCCCATCCACATGCTTTCTTGGGCTATGAGTCTCTGCTAAATTACCAACAGTTCTGCCCGGGTTGTGACAACCCATGGAGGAGTCACCAGGGTCTCTCTGGCCAGGCACAACATGATCTAGGAGTAGCCGAAGCTTCCAGATTGAGGCTAGAAAAGGTCAGAGTGTACCCCTGTGGGGGGCCACACACATGCCTCAGGCACCCCAGGAAAAGTGAGCCTTGTCTGTGGACTTCCTGTTGACGACAGCAGGAAGCCTGGGTGTGGCACAGCCTTTGAATGGGCTCCAGCATCTGCAAGCTGTGAGACTCCACACTCTGCAGGGTGGACTCACTGGCAGAACATGTATGCCACCATAGTGTTTCATCATCCTGAGGGGCCC